GCTGCCTATATGGGGGGAGCTGGGCTCCCTGCTCAGGCTGCAGCAGCTGCTGTTTCCCACAGGCAACAGTCAAAGCTTGGGTGCTGCTGTGGGGGGCAGGGGGCTGTCAATCTGGGTCCCTGGCCCGGTAGCTTTGGTAGATGAGTGTCCACTCCAGCAGTGTTGGGGGAGAGGGGGCTATGGGTAGAAGGCAAGGGGCACTGGCAGGGGCAGAGTAAAGGGCCTGGAGCTATATGCTGGTGGGCAAAGGGGGCAGGGCGGCGAGTGGCAGAGTGACGGCAGTGCAGTGTCTGTGTGGCCCTGCTTTTGCCCTGCCCCGGACCTGCTCCTGTTTGGCAGCAGTGTGAGATGGTGGTGCTCCATCCCTGCCCACCCCCATGTATCCCTGGGACCTTTCAGAGTACCCCCAGGTGTATGCATACCCCTGGCTGACAACCCCTGCCATAGTGCTCCCCCTCTTAAATTAGAAAGCAGCTATTAACAGGAAGACAGTAAGCGAACAAAAGGAATGCAGCTAGGACAACTATCCCCTTAAATATTTTGAAGAGCAGGGGAGCTGTTACAGTGTAATATTCATCCTGCATGCTCAAATATGTTAAATTACTGGCACTTTGAGTCTGAATGGAACAGTTAAAGTTGCAAAGATTTTACTTCATGTATTTCTACAGAAGTATACAGTGGTAGCAGCTGTGTCATATCATCTTATCCATTTCTCCCACTCTCTCTACACTTTCTCCTCCAGTCATTGATTCTTTTCTTCTTATTGCTTTTTACTCTTACCTTCCCCTTCTCTGTAATTAGAAAAAGCACTGAATTTTAAGGCTTCCATAAAACTAAATATTGTAGCAAGAGATTTTTTTTTTAAATGGAAGATGTGATTTTTAAGAACTATACATGCAGATTTAATTTTGTATAGTCTGTATTCCATAGATCAATATTAGAAATGGTGTGTCACCCCCCCTCCCTCCCCACAACAAACAGCGAAAAATGTGCTTCCTCCCAGTCCTGTATTAGCCTAAAAATCCAAGTCTCTTAGGCTCCAAATCCAGCTGTGAGGACTTCAGAAGGATGGAAAAACTAGAGGATTTAGAGTATAACTAAAATATGGCACTCTTATTAAACTCTTCTGTGGCCTGTAGCAACCCCCAGGGGAAAGTTTTCCTTCCCTGATAGGGTGATCTTTCTTAAAATTGTCTTTTCTAAAACTGTGCAGTTTCAGAATCGTAGACTATAATTCAGTCCTGCAGAGACAGTTTATATAGTCCAGTGATTCTCACCAGAGTTTTATGATACACTGGGGTATCTTTAAATCCATTTAAGGGTGCTGTGAGGTACACAGCATTATCGCTAACAAGCGTGATTCACAAGATAATCCATGTTCTAGTATTTTTGTGCAGTTGAGAGAGTCAAAACTAAGAGAGTCTGTGAAGGGGCGCTTCACGTTTGGTGAGGGATGCCTCATGTCCAGAAAGATTGAGAACCACTGGTCTAGTCTGCCTTGACTTTTTTTTTTTCCTTATCTGTGTTGCTTTAGGGTGAAAAGTTATTCCTCCTTCACCCACAAAATAAAAGCAGATTTTGTCTGATATTTTAAAAATGGCTGGCAATTTATCTATATTTTTTCTTTAGAATTTTTGCGAAAATATAATGAACAGAGTGTAGGTGGACTCATGTGGCTCTGCATTGCAGCAGCTGTGGCCTTGACACTTTTCGGTAAGGGCTGAAGCCTGAGACTCAGCAGTTGCCTGCCTCCCCTGACTCAATTCGAAGACAACTGGCTTTTTTTGCATGTTAATGCAGGGGGAAAACACCTCTTCTTAGAATCTGAGTAAATATAGAAATTGAGTCTGCAAATATTACTGTAAGTTTAACAACAGTATCTTAGTGGAATATGCCAGGCTGAGGGATTTAGAGTTGGGCCAATGTTCACTCCTTTCTGCATAAAAGTTCAAGCTTTTCTGGCAAATTTTAATTGCACCCACGTTCACATCTTCCCTGTAGTGACAGAATCCCTTTTTTCTGGCAGCAGGACAAAACCAACTTAGTGACAAAGCTTTTGCCACTGCCTTCCAGCTAACAGAAGCTACATGTAAATATCCCCTGGCTTTATGTTACCTGCTAATGTCTCCTATGATGCACTGTGTACCCCACTGATACAGTAGCTGCAGTGGACTGAGCATGAGCTGTGTGTGTGGGAGCTCTGGCGCACACCAGGATGCATAAAATGAAGGAAAGGGGGTTTGATGTGGGGGAGGCCTCTAGTAATAGATCTGTTCTCTGTTCCTTCTTCCCTCCCCTGCCTTGATGAGGTCCTGATAAAAATGAACAAGGCTGATTCTGAAAATACCTTTTTGTAGTGTGCCAGGAATCTTGCGTACCTTTCATTTAACTTTTACATGTGCCTAGAACAGTGGATTTCAACGTGGGGTCTGCAGATCCACACTTACAATTTGGAGAGGTCCGCACCCCCATTCAGGATTTTTTTAGGAATCTGCAAATGAGAAAAGGTTGAAAACTACTGGCCTAGATGCATGGCTGAGAGGCGTGCTTTGACTAATCAGCACCAGAATGTTAACTGTAGCTGAATGGATGGAAGCAATACATCTTGTGCCATTCTATGGAAGGGGGCAGCTGTGCTCTAGTCACTTGCTGTCATTGCTTATGATACAAAGTTAGCTTCAGGTTTCTGTCACTCTTATGGGATATTGAGGCATGAATGTCTGTTAATCAGTTCTAAGCTAATCCTGCAGAACTTCAGAGATTTAGTGTAGCATTGGGATTTTTTTTTTTTTTTTTTTTTTTTATTTCCCACCCCCTACCCCTGCAGTAGAGGAATTAATGCTGAGAATACTCTATTGGTTACAGCTCCTTTGCAAGCTCTTAACATTCTAATTATTGTTGACTAGCATGAACGGTTCTTCAGCTTGAAGTAGCTGTAATCCCTCCCTTCACCAAAAAATGTTCTCTTTATGCAATAGTGCTGCTTGTTGCTATGGTTAAAGGAGATTAAAGATAATTTGGCCATTTTGGTAAAGTGCTCTAAGCAGTGTCTAAATGATGGTAATACTTTAAAGCTTATTAAAACAATCCCAGAAGCATTAGAGAGTCAAAGCTCTGAGCCAGTGGCACTAAGTGAATATGCACTATATGAGATGTAGTTCAAGGCAAGTTGGCTGCAAAGAGAGAAAAGCAGGGAGCACACAACAGATTTCTTTTGCAGTTTAATTTTGCTTCACTGGCCCTTTCTTGGCATCTGAGTCAGCTTGTAGTCAGCTCACAAATTTTGAGATGAACCATTTCTAGAGTTTGTGAATCATTGCTTCTGCCCTTCATCTGTGTGCGGGGGCAGAACACTTATCTGAAATGAGCTTCCATCTTTGAATGTAGGTTCATTTTTTTTGAACATCATTTAATTTTGGTGGTGGCTGTTTGTAGTAATGGAGCTCAGACATCCTTTGAGTGAGGATTTTGATACACTGTGTTCATTGTATAGGATGCCCACTCACAAGGAGAAGTGGTGGCTTGCTTGGAAAAAGGCCTGGTAAAAGAGGCAGAAGAGACGGATGGTAGAGTTCAGGTTTCTGATCGTTGTAAGAAAGCGATTCTTCGGGTGGCTGAACTCTCTTCTGATGACTTCCACTTGGACAGACACCTGTACTTTGCATGCCGAGATGATCGAGAACGCTTCTGTGAAAATGTGAGTTTTCAAATGTCAGTCCCTCCCTCCCCTTTTATTCCCTCCCCAAAAGGGGGCCTTAACAAGAACTAAAGGGCTGAAAAAGAGCCTGAACAGACTTTACTACAGTAAACGGTATTCAGTGGAGCCCCTGTTGTATATCCTTCATTCATTTATCTTTTAAAAATGCAACCTGTAAACAAAAGCTGCTTTGAAGAGGTTGCCCAAAAGAATATAGCTTGCATTGATGAGCACTGCCCTTCTCCACTGTCAGAATTTGGAGGGGATCTGTTCAACATCTCTGTGAAAGAGTTTGGTTTTTATTTAGTACTCTGGTTTAGTAGCATGCTTCATGTTGCTTTTTTAGGCTTAATTTTAGCTAATCTTTGGCACCAAGAACTCCTACAGGTTTTTATGAGAAGTGCCTCAAAGTGGATGGGAAGGAGGAAAGAGTCTTCATTCATAAAATGTAAAGTCAGAAGGGACCACAAAGGATCATCGTTAGACCTCCTGCCCCTGGCAGGAAAGAGGACCAAGGTTGGATGACCCCAGCCAGGTGTCTATCAAGCCTCCTCTTGAAGACCTCCAAGTTAAGTGGTAGTACCACTTCTCTTGTAAACCCATTCCAGATTCTGGCTGTGCTTATTGTAAAAAAATTACTTCCTAATGTCTAACCTGAATCTGCTGTCCACTAGTTTGCACCTATTATTCCTAGTTACTCCTAGGGGCACTCTGGTAAATAGCGCATCTCCAATTCCCTGTTGTCCTCCCTTGATAAACTTGTAGGAGGCTACAAGGTCTCCCCTCAGATGTCTTGTGTGAAGGCTGAAGAGATCCAGATCCTTCAACCTCCCTTCATATGATCTTTCACGGAGGCCACTAATTATGCAAGTGGCCCTCCTCTGAACCCTCTCCAGATTCTCCGTGTCCTTCTTGAAGTGCAGCGCCCCACACTGGACACAGTACTCCAACTGTGGCCTGACCAATGGTGCATAGAAGGGGGGCATCACCTCCCTCAATCTGTTGGTCTTGCATCTGATAATGCACAACAAGGTGCGATTGGCTTTGTTGATGGCTTCGTTACATTGCCGGCTTATGTTCATCACAAAGTTAATGCAAATTACCTGCATCTTCTACAACAGAAGAATGGGAAATGCAACAAGAGACTAGCTTGGGTGGCAGTGATCTCTTCAATGCATTGAAACTCAAAAAGGAATCCTACAAAAAGTGGGAACTTGGTCATATTACTAGGAAAGGTATAAGGATATTGTATGGGCACGCAGGAAGAAAATTGGGAAGACCAAGGCATAATTTGAGGTGCAACTGGCAGGTGACATAAGGCAATAAAAATAGATTCTGTAAGTATATCAAGTAAGAGGAAAATTAAGGAAAGTGTGGTTCTAAATGCAAAAGACAACCTAGTTACAGATGGAAGTATTTAACTTTTTTACCTCGGCCTTTATGAATAAGGTCAGCAACCAGATCATGAGTGCAGTTAGCAGCAAAGATGGAGAAGGAGAAAAAGAGAGTGTAGAGTAGTGGAAGAACAGGTTAGGGATTGCTTAAAGAAGCTAGCCGTTTTCAAGTCAGCAGGGCCAGATGGGATACAGCCTAGGATACTAAAGGAATTGAGTGAGATTTAATTTCAAAGCTATCGGCTGTTGTCTTTGAGAAACTGGAGGTCCCGGATGATTGGAAAAGGAGGCAAATGTACTGTGTGTCTTTAAGAATGGGAAGAAAGAAGATCTGGGGAAGTACAGACCAGTTAGTCTGATCTTGATACCTGGGAAGATCATGAAGCAAGACTAAAAGAATCTATTGTGAAGCACCTAGATGTTGTCATGCGCTGAGGCATGGGCTGTCTGCCTAGTGGCTAACTTGAGCCAATGGTCCAAGGGATGGCAGGGTCGAAGCCAGTGTCAGAGTCCAAGTCAAAGCAGAAACAACAAGCAAGGCAAAGTCAGAGAGCAAGCTGGGTCAGGTACTTGGGAGGGATGAGTTTCAAACGGTCCAGTTTGAGGCAGAGGCCAAAGTCCAAGCAGAGCCAACAATGCAGGTGATCCAATTTGGAATTGGGACACAAGAGCATGGAAATGTCAGTATGGCCTAAGAATAAAAAGGGCCTTGTTCAGACAGCTTCCACAGGGAGCAGGATCCCATATATAGGTGGGAGGATTCGTTTAGCATCTGGGAGCCCTGGGCCAATTGGACCAGCAGTAAGAGGCTTTTTCCCAATGTGGCCTCTCTGCCAGTCCACCTTTGTCTGTGTTTGAGGCCTGGTGAAAGACTAAGCTGATGCTCAATCTCTGAATCTCTAGGTTAGGGTTCAGGACCAGATCCTGACAGAGGATAAAAAGGTGATTTAGGAAGAGCCCGCATGGATTCACTAAGAACAGCTCATGCCTAACTTAATTTCCTTCCATGATAAGGTGACCGGCTCTGTGGATGGGGAGAGAGCAGTGGATATGATGTACCTTAACTTTAGTAAGGTGTTTGATGCTGTCTCCCAGGACATTCTCATACTATGGGAGTACAGACTAGATGAAAATACTGTAAGGGGGATGTATGACTGGTTGAATTGTGGTGCTCAACCAGTAGCCATCAGTGGCTCTGTGTTTAGTTTAGATGAGGTATCAAGTGTGGTTGCCTAGGGGTGTGTCAGGTATGATTTAACACCTTAATTAATGATTTGGGTGATGGGATTGAGTGCACACTTAGCAAATTTGCACATGACACCAAGTTGGGTGTCAGTTGCAGACACTCTGGAGGGTAGGGCTAGGATCCAGAATGACCTAGATTGCAGACCAGTTTTCAGTCTTTCAGATGAGACTCGGCAAGAACAAGTGAAAGGTCCTGCACTTGGGACAGAATGATTGCATGCACAAATACAGACTGGAGAATCACTGGCTGGATTGTAGTGCTGCAGGGAAGGACATGGGGGTTACAGTGAATATTTTGCAATTATTTGCAAGAAAAGCCAACAGCCTACTGGGTTGTATTAACTAGAGAAGTTGTGGAATCTCCACCCCTAGAAATTGTCAAGAGCAGGTTAGACAGACATCTGACTGGGATGGTTATCCATGTTAGTCAGAAGGCAAAGTAAGTTTTGCATCTCAGACTAAATCAGATGTACAGCAAGCTTTTGTAAGCAGAGGGCTTGCTTCATCAGATACCCCTCAGATGGGATGATTTCATTAGTGCTGATCCTGCCTTGATCAGGTAGCTGGTCTAGATGACTTCATGTGGTCCCTTCCAGCTTTAGTTTTCTATGATCCTGCTTTTATCATTAAGCTGTTTAACAGCAGGTGAGATGGATCACAGGCTCTGCTACGAGAACCTTGGTGTAGAGAGTTGCAGCAGGGGAGGAGATCTATATAGATCCTATTCCCTTGCATTAATGGAGGTTATTCCTTAGCAAAAAGAACAGAAAACAGGAGTTGGTACGGATAACTCAGCTTTAACATTTTTCATGACAAAAAGAGCTGTTACATCAGATGGTGACACTAACAAGTATTAGCTGTTCCTATAATGAATGGGCATTGCTTTTAGTAATGTAAAAATTGGCTTTGGGTTCCATATGATACAGTTGTATTTTGGTGATCATGAAAAAGGTATTTTCTCCTGAAGAGCTAATGTCGCTATTCTGTTTCAGACGCAAGCTGGGGAAGGTCGGGTGTACAAGTGCCTCTTTAACCACAAGTTTGAAGAATCTATGAGTGAAAAAGTAAGCATCTCGACTGAGCAGTCATCTCACCTGGCAGTCATAGGATTTTCCATCCATTGGACAGACACTTTGCCTCTTTCCTTCTGAACATTACAGTAACTCTCTGTTAATTGACCCTATACACCTGGGTCTCTGAATACCTTTACAGCTTCCTTTAAATTGAGACAAGTACTTACAGCTGCATTTGGTAGTGTAATTCTGGTTAGTCACTCTTCTGTGGGAAGACTGTGCTTGTTTAAGAGGTTTGTTTGTTTGTTTGTTTTTTGTTTTAAGTATGGAGCTAGAGTTGATTTACCAAGATGATGGAAGCAAAAGCTGGAAAATGTAGAGGCTGGATCAAGTAAAGAGATCATCAAATAAAAATACCTCTACTGTCCTTTGGCTACTCCCACTTCAAATTTAATGAGCAATGTTGCCTTTTAAGTTCTTGAGAAAATCGTTCTTTATATGTAGGGCAATTTAGACTTAAATAATGTAATGTATTTCAACATGGGCATTTCCCTACAGTGCAGACCACTTTGGTACAAGTATTAGTAAAAAAACCAGTGACTTGCACTATGATGCTATGTCTCCATTTCCAGAGCTTTATATTTGCAGCCTTTAGCGCCTCTGATCATGGTACAGATATAGGGAGCACGGAGGTGAGGATCAGACCTTGGATCTCAATGCTTAATTGGGGAACATAATAGTCCATATTCTTCTTATTTCCTTTACCCACATTGCAGTCAAGCTCTCTTATTGTATTCTCTTATTCCAATCTCCAGATACACTTTCATATGAATATTGTTTTATTTTTTAATAAGTTTGATCATTTTCTGAATTATCTGTTTTACTTGGATTATTTCTTTGAAATTAAAAAAAAAAAAAATTGTAATGTGCAGAAGTGGAGAGTTTGTCCTCCTAATGTGTGGTTACCCTTTGTTCCACTGATCTCAAATTTTGGTTCAATATCCATATCCTATGCCACCCAGAGATTCATCAAATTTCAAAGCAACCCTAGGAAGCTTGTTCGTGTTTAGAGCATTTAGCCATTTTCTAAACTGAAAAGATTTGTCAACCTTAACTGTAGTAAAAGTTTCTCTTCGTAGCAATATAGTGAAGATTGTGTTGATTTTTATTTTCCTCAGTGTCGTGATGCTCTGACAACCCGTCAGAAGCTAATAGCCCAAGATTATAAAGTCAGCTACTCATTAGCAAAGTCCTGCAAAAGTGATCTGAAGAAGTACCGCTGTAATGTGGAGAATCTTCCCCGATCTCGAGAAGCCAGACTTTCCTACCTGCTGATGTGTTTGGAGTCTGCTGTACACAGAGGTGAGAGGTATTTAGAGTTGGGTAACGTGCCTTGCTCATTTAGAAGATTTAAAGATTGAACTAAAATGGGGGTAGATATTGTACTCTTTAACAATCTTACACCCACATCTTAAAGTTATAGAGAAGTAGGGCTGGAAAGGACCTCAAGAGGTCATCTTGTCCAGACCTCTGCCTGAGGCAGGATCATCCCTATCCAAATCATCCCGTACAGCCATAATCTAAACTCTGCATAAGACTACAGTCAACCCTGACACAACAACCCTAACACCTTAACCTGCCCCAGGTAAAGCACAGGAATGATGGCAGTCAGTCCTGCTTCTATAAAATGTTGTCAGTGCATGCTGAAGAGGTCCTGGGTAGAGGACCATGCCTCCTGCTACAGAGCAAAGTGTTTAAAAAAAAAAAACAAAAAACAAAAAAAAAAAAACCAGTCTGAC